CCGAATTATATGATTAGAGGAATTCCAATACTTTGTTTTGAATTTTTCATTTTTTTTTTAATTTTTGCAAAATTTAATGCTAAGTGTTGATTTTTTATTGGCTATCCATGATTTTATCCAAAGTTCTTTTTGTAGGCTATAATGATAACAATTGACTACCATCAATTTTAAAATTTTCTATCACTGTTTTTTTTTTTTTTAAAAAAGAAAAAATCATCATCAAGCATGCAATTTAAAAATTAAATATATTTTATTCTATTACAACTTTATTAAAAAAGTAAATTTATTTTGCTACTATTCAATAAAATATATATGCCTTTATTTTGATATAACAAACAAAATTAAATTATCTTTTACTCATACGTAATCTCTCATAAATATTTTATCTTTTTAAAATTTTGATTATCAACAACCGAATTCTCACATTTCTCTCTTCTTCTTCTTTTTTTGTAGGATGTTTATTTCACTTTTATCTTTATTTTTCAAATTAGATTTGATATCTATCTTTTTACCTATGTATATAGCTATACTATATATATAAGCAAATATAATGTGTTTTCTAAAATTTTTAAAGTCTCTATACTCAATTCTTAAGCAGAGTTAAGATTCTGTTTCCTATATGTTGTTCTCTTAAAGTTATGTTTTTAATTTTTCATCTTTATTTTTCTCCGATAAGAAATATTTTTTTTTCTCTTACTATTGTTTTTATTTTAAATTTTTAACTGTTAAAATCTTTTTATTATCGAAAACTCCTTATCTCTTTTTATTGATTTTTTATTTATCTTATTCTTCTCTAATATTTTCATTTTTCTTTATTTCTTATTTCTTCCTTTTTAATTTTTTTTTTTTGTATCCCCAATCCTATCATTATCTCCAACTTTATTTTTATTATATTTTTCGTATGATCCTTTTTTTTAATTTATTTTAATCTCTAATCTAATAATTATCTTCAAATTCATTTCTATCTTATTTTTCAAATGCTTCACACTTTAGCTATATATTTTAACATGCCATCGAGTTTTTTTAGTGTTTGCATATTGGGTATAAAGTTTTGTTCAAACTCTATGTTTAAGATTCGAGTTACATTCAACCATCGACAACGTTATAATTGGTTAGGCAATTGTAGGATTTTAGGGTTTTGATGAATTTTATTCTCTTTGTATACCTATATGTATATATAGTGGGGGCATTTTTTTTTTGTTGTTTTCTTTAAAGGGGCCTTTGAACATTTTTACATTATTTGTAGTAGTATTCATTTTTACATTTTTATATTATTTGTAATGGTATCCACTTTTACATTATTTGTTTTTAAAGCTAGAATAATGTTCGATATAAATATAGTTCATGCTGCTAAATGACCTACTTGGACTAAGATAATTTTATAATCAATGTTTCAAATGACAAATTGCTGGAAAAAATGAATGTATGAACTTAGGTATTGGATAGTTATCATATTGAAAATATTTGTTAGTTATAACTCCCTATTATATTTTAAATTTATGAAAAAATTATATTTTATAATACAAAAATAAGTATAATAAATTATTTAACTTATACATTCCTGATTTTCATGCATAGCACAGGTTACCGCTAGTATAAATATAAAATAAAAGTAACCTTACCTGGGAGAGTGTCTGAATTGTGAATTAGTAAAATGGGAACCATGTCGGGGAAAAGTAATTTTTAGCTAAAAAAATTAAAAAAAAAAATTATTATAAATTATCACATCAAAATATCAAATTTTTTTTTTTTTTTTTTTTGATGGAGGACTAATAAATTTCAAAAATATGATCTTATAAATTATTTAATCCTTCATTTTTTCTTATAAATCCAAAAGTCTCATTAAAGGAAAAATTACATAAAATGGTAGTCAATTATAAGTTTGAGTTTAATTTTTAAGGGATAAAAATAGATTTCTCCAAATGTAAAATTATACATTTGGACAATTTGAATTTATCCCACATTACGAATAAGAACATAACACTCCAACGTGACATACTAAAAAGCTCCTTATTGTATTTTTTTAAACGTAACACTCTAAACTTTCTCTAAACGTAATACTCTAATATAACACACTCGAATGTAACACATAAAAAAACTCTTTAGTATATTATTCACAAACGTAGCACTTCAATCAATGTAATATCAAATAAACCTTCCAATGTAACACACATAAAAATACTAAAAAACTACTTAGTGTATTTTTTTTCCAAACGTAATCCTCACAGTTTGAAATTATATAATTACCCATACCTTATTAAAGAATTTTTGTACTCCTTTTGTAATGGTTTAAAGAATCCCACACCATTTTGGAATGATTTGAAGAATCTCACATCCTTATTTTAGAGTGTTACATTGGAATATTACGTTTGGAAAAAATGCATTAAAGAATTTTTTTGTATATTATATTGGAGTATTACACTAAGGAGTTTTTTTTTAGAGTGTTATATTAAAGTGTTACGTTTAAGAGTTACATTGAAGTGTTGCATATAGAAATTATACAATTGCTCAAACTTACTAAGGAGTTTTTATACTCTTTTTGAAATATTTAAATAATCCCACATCCTTTTGGAATGTTTGAAGAATCTCATATTTCAAGTCATTCCAAATAAAAAAGATTCTCATATAAAAATTCATTCCAAATTTGATTATCATATGTTGTGTATCTTGCCTTTCTAGCAAAAAAAAAAAAAAAAAAAAAAAAAATATCTTGCCTTTCTAGCAAAAAAAAAAAAAAAAAACATAACATAACATAATAAAAATAAGGGAGACTTATTTATAAGTCTTTTTTCAGACACTTATACTAGGCAAAGTCCTGTGTAATTTCTTATATAGTCTCAAGTCCTATTTAGATAGGAATGTATTTCACAAGATCCTACATAAACGTAACGTGACGTGACACTTACATAAATGTAACGTAACGTGACACCTACATAAACGTACCGTAATGTGACACCTATATAAACGTAACGTGACACCTACATAAACGTAACGTAACGTGTCACGTTACGTTTCACAAACTTAATGAGTTTTTATTTTTTTAAATTGAATGTGAAAATGTTGCTGATTTATGTTGGTGTCACGTTACGTTTCATATAAATATGATCTATGATAACATTCAATTTCTTATATAGGAAATTGAATGCTGCCATAGATCATAAATGTCACGTTACGTTTATGTAGGTGTCATGTTACGTTACGTTTATATAGATATGATCTATGGTAACATTCAATAGGAAATTGAATGTTACCATAGATCATAGGTGTCACGTTACGTTTATGTAGGTGTCACGTTATGTTACGTTTATATAGATATGATCTATGATAACATTTAATTTCCTATACATGATTTTATTATTATTTATTATATTAACAACTAATAGTGAGGGTAAATGTGTCAACAAACTTCCCACAGGACTTATGGGAACATAAGTCTTTTAGTAGGACCATATGTAGCATAAGTCTTCCTAATAGGACTTATAAATAATTTTTCCTAAAAATAAGGGTATATCTACAAATTTAATTTTCAAATAATATATTAAAGGGTGAATTACACTACTAGTCCCTATAGTTTGGGCTTGTTTCACTTTGGTCCCTGACTTTTCAATTATGACACATTTGACCCTGAATTTTGAATCTTGTTCCAAATAAGGACAATTGAAAATATCATTAGATTTTTCAAGGGTAAAATTATCAATTTGATAAAATATGAACTAATTTGATAAAAATAAATGTCAAACAAATATTTTTGAATTTTTAAAAATTATTTCTACCCACTAAAAATAAAATTATGTAAAATTGATAAATCTTTTAGATTTTTATTTATTTTTTTACCAAATTAATTTTTATTATGTGTTTGGATAATAATCATGTAAAATTAATTTTTAAAAATTAATCATGTAATTTTTATTAATTTTTATCAATTTTACATAATTATATAATTGGTGGATAAAAATAATTTTTTAAAAATTAAAAATATTTTTTTGACATTTATTTCTATCAAATTAGTTTATATTTTATTAACTTAACGATTTTGCTCTTAAAATTAAACAATGATATCTGTAATTGTCCTTATTTGAAACAAAATTCAAAATTCAAGATCAAATGTGTCACAATTGAAAAGTCAGAGAGCATAGTGACACGAGTTCCAAACTATAGGGACTATTAGTATAATTTGCCTTATATTAAATTTACTTTTTTTAAATCAATGAGATTAATTAGTTTATAAGAAAACTCTTGAGACTAATTGAATCGTCATTCCTTAATATGAGTTTCATAGATAAATTTTTCTTCTTCTTCTTTTTTTTTCATATCTTTTTATAAAAAATTAAAAAATCTATTAAGATAATCTATTTCCAAACGGACTTGAGTCAAAGGTGCACAACATGAGAATTTTGGGCAGCAGTAGCAAATTCAGAATTGAAAACAAATTAAGGCCCCAAATTGCAGTTGAGAAATATATGAAGGCAAAGGTCAAGAAAGACACATAAGATAGAGAAGGTATGGATCCCTTTCTTTACTTGAAGTGGCAAAGGTTTCACAACTAAGCAAACCCTCCTCCTCTCTCTCCTTGGTCTTTAAAGTCCACTTCCAAAAAGCCTCTTTTTTTTGTCATTTTGGTTGGCCCTGCTTTGCCTTTCTTCTCAGGAAAAGAACTCAAAAGGGTGAGAACTAAAGGAGAAGAATGTGGCAGAAATATCCCCACAAATCTTCTTTCAGAGAATCCATCAAAACCCTTGAAGCTGATATTCACCATGCCAATACCCTGTAAGCACTTTGTTTTTCTCTCTTAATCTTTCTATATATATATAAAAAAAAATTTCTTATATATATATATATTTTTTTTCCTTTTTAATGTTCTTATATGTCCAAGCAAGACTCAAATTTTATTTTATTTTGAACCCATTTGCATTATGCTATTTATTTAATTATAAGAACTGGCTCTATACCTTTCATCTTTGGTAAGCAATATATAATCATATGGTTGGATATAATTGCAGTGGTTAGGTGGTATTTGTCTTTAAGAAAGTAAAGTTGGAACTTTTAATTATGCATATTTTGCTTGAAAATCATTGTAGATTTCTTCACAGCCCATAACCCTTGTTCTATCTCCATTTCTCTCTCTTCCTAAAGTTTCTTCACCTTGAAAATTTGCATATAATAGAGAGCCCATTTGGATGTTGCTTATTATTTGCTTCTTGTTTTTGGTTAGTTGGTTTATTGTTGCTTAATTATATGATGATTCATACCTGTCTGATTTTCACCAATGTAGGTTATATTCTACATTTAATTAATTTAATCTTTGTTTTCATTATGTAATTTTTTGATTCGGGTTTTTCGGGGGTATCAATTTTCAGGGCAGCTGCACTACCAAGAGATTATGATGGAGATTGTATTCAGTTGAAATTGTCTTACAGCCCATTTGCTCCATTCTTGCTGTTTTTGATAGAATGGATGGATTATAGTTGTACAGATACTCTCCCAAGTTATTTGGGCCTTCTTCACATACTTGTATACAAGGTGGGTGGCGGTTTTATTTTGCTTCTTTTTTTCTCCATTAATGTGATTTGAAAGTAAACAACAGGGTTTCCTTAGATAGCATGCTTTGTTTTGTTTTTTGTTCATTCTGTTTTAGTTTTATGTTTTTCTATCGTGGGTGTTTTCTCAAATTCAACCCGGATGAAGCTTATTACCCATTGGTGACCTGCACAATCCGATTAGTGGCCAAATGACAATGTTTCCCGATAGGTCCAACCCACTATTTGTATTTGGGTATATTTTGACCTGGTTTGCTACTTTATGATCTTTGCATATATTGGGTTATTTTGGAGTTTCTGGGTTAATGATGCTCTTGTGAGTTTCAGACAGAGGGCTCACAGAGAGAGAGAGAGATGTCTCATTATAATCTGCATTCATAGTGAAACTCCTTTGTCATTCTTCGCCCATGGACGTAGGCATATTGTCAAATCACATAAACCCTTTTGTGCTTTTGTGTTTGTTCTGTTTTAGCTTTTCATACTTTCAATTTTGCCTTAACACTTTCGTTACTCTAAAATCAACATCAATGTCTGCATTACTTTAGGTATATCTTGATGGAATGCCAACAATATCCTCACAAGACCGGAAAGCCACTCTGAGGGAATTTTACGGTACATTTTCAAGTCCATGCCTTCTTACTTGCATTCAATTTCCTTGCTCCCTTGCGTTACTGTCTTGAATGCCGAAATCATTTTCTAAAATTTTTGCAGCTGTTTTATATCCTTCACTTGAGCAACTCAAAGGCTATGTCACGGAATTGGTGGAAGACAACAACAATAGAATTCACTCCTCTGAAATTCTGAGTAGAAAGGGGATGGAAGAGATGACAAATTTTTCTGGTAAAGATCTTGAAAGGGACGATGAATGCGGGATATGCATGGAAACTTGCACCAAGATGGTATTACCTGATTGCGGACACTCCATGTGCAACAGCTGCTTCCATGACTGGTAACTAACCACGGATCACAATTCCCAATCATCATTTTAATTTTTTTTTTTTAATTTCTTGCATTTCATGGATTAATATTAGACATGCATCTGTTAAAACGTGTTGATCAGGAACATGCGATCCCAATCATGCCCCTTTTGTCGAGGCAGCCTAAAGAGAGTCAGTTCCACGGATTTATGGGTGCTCACTAGTAACAATGATGTGATTGACATTATTACTCTAGCGAAGGAGAATCTTAGGCGGTTCTACAGTTATATTGAGAACTTGCCGCTCATGGTGCCTGATACCCATTTGTTTCTATACGATTACTTGATCTGATTAATTAAAGTACTCGGCTATGAAACATGCTGACCACTGCCCATTGTATATAGAGTCTGGTATAGAAAATGTTTGATTGTCATTTGCCACACGAGCTGTTTCTAGATGTATATATGATTAGCCGACTGTGAAGGGCCTTGGATCGAGTAATTGATTCTGAAGATTTATGAGGTCCTTCAACGAGCAGCGTTGGTGAATGTAAAGATTGAGAATGTTCCGATTATGTAGTCATGGTAAAAGATGTAAAAAGAAGCCAACTAAGTTGTTTTGGAATCTGAGTGCTGGAATGGAATGGAATGGAAATCGCGAATTATTGGAATCGCTTGGTATGTAGGTTTCTTCTTATTGTTATTATTATGATTATGTGTATGTCGGATCATGAATCGAATTTATTTGTTACGTAGAACTTGTTATTCTTGTGTAGCATTAGGTTCACATTGGTTTAGAGATTTGGAGTCCTAAGAAATGCAAGGAAACAATCTTTGAACAATTTGAAAGTTTCTCTCTCACTCATTTTTTATTTTTATTTTTTAAAATTTTCGGATTTCAGATTTGTGAGGGAAATGAAAGTTTCATTTATTCATTTCTTGTTATTCCAAAAAAGACCCCCCCCCCCCCCCCAACAAATTTTTTTTTTTCCAAGAAATGCCTATTATTTTCTTCTCATTTTCTTAGCCTAACCAAAATAAAAGTAAGGAATTCAACTTTCACACTTCACTGTCATTTTCCTTTTTTATTTTGAGAGCTTTGGTCATAGTCCCATCATAATAATACTTTAATGTATCAAGAATAAATAAGATCAAATATAAAAAGTTTTACTTGAAAAGTTCAACCCTTATTACTATTATCAAAATATTAAATTTTAAAATAATATAACTTTTGATTTAGATATCGATTTTTAATAAAATTAGTATTTTTAAATTTTTTTTATCAAGATCTATCAAATAAGATTCATATTGACTATGAAATTTTCAAAAAATATATATATATTATCATTGAAATTGATGTAAACCGTACTGTGTTACTCTGGTTCACAATAACATGTTATTCAGACAATATTGTCTAAGAAAAAAAAAAGATATTTTATTTTGTCCTTACTCAATTATGCACTTCCTCCTTAGGAGATTTATGAAGCAAAATAAATTAGACTATCATTTTTACTAAATAAGAGTCCAATAGAGAAGTTTTGACTAAATTTTTCTTTTATTTTTTATTTCCTTAACAAATATAACAACCAAACAAAGCGTAAACATTTTTAGATAATCTAATTTATTGATTTTTCAAGCTGAATTGACACATGTAATCACCATATCTGGAAGCAAAATTAAGGTTGTGCTTACATGTTAAACTTGCTTGCCTCTGTTTTACTTCACTACATATCATATTACCTTCTCTGCATTTGCAAGGAATACTTCAATGAGCTGCCCTAGTTGTTAAGCTTGGTTAGGTTTTGGTTTTGGGCATTTTGTTGCGTGTTTGATCACATGAAGCTGAGGTTGTGACTGTGCTCTGGTTAAGGTGATTTGGCCCAATAGTAACAATTTGCCATTAGAAGATTTGTCCTTGGTCCTTGTGTTGTGGGTTTGTCGTTAAGAAATTATAAAATAAATAATTTAAATTATAAAAATGAATTCAGGATGGACCCACCAAAGGGAACAGGGCAGACCTGTGTGTAGAGCTTTTGGGCGCAACAGGAGCACTGTATCCCTAGAATTGGGATAAAGTTAACGAAAAATGTTTGGTGGTCCGAATTTCTATGGTTTGAATGGTTTGAATGTGTCAAAACGCCGTCGTTTTGCATTCAAAACGACGTCGTTTTGGATGTTTCAAGCCATTTGAGCTATGAATTTTCGGACCACCTATCATTGTTAAAACTATATCTTACCCTCTCTAGGTACTACTTCAACAGGAGTTTATGGGACTGGTTCTTCGGATGGACTGTCATATAAACTTGGACTTGGTTATTCTATTTTGAATATTTGATTGGGCATTGTGACTCCAAGAACTACCCATTCAATCATGTTAGAAGATTCCAAAATTCTCATTGGGTTCTTATCTCTTGCCATTAGCATTTTTGCCCCTAAAAAGGTTCTCCAATCTCAACTTGTACATCAATCAAATGACCATAACAATGGGGAGCAAGAATTATTTTTTCTTTATTTATTTTTGGATAAATTACAAATACATCTCCTGAAGTTTGCTTAAAATATGAATTGCTTTCTGTGGTTTGAAAAATTACAAATACCTCACTGTCAGAATTTTTTATTTAACAGAATTAATTGAAAAAGTGAAATTTTTAACTGTTCAGTTATACAATAATAAAATTATCTAAATTATTAATTGAAATAAAAATTTAACATTATTAAAAACTGTTAATTAACTTGATGAATATTTATTAATAAAAGGACCTATTTGTTATGAAATTAAAAACCTTAAGGGACATAATGTAATTTCTAGAATCATATGGGGTAATTTGTAATTTAAGTAACCTTCGGGGGTATGTTTGTAATTTACCCTTTATTTTTTGTAGATTAAAAAGGGTAAGAGAATGCAAGCAATCTCATTTAGCAGTGAACAACAAAGGGAATCTAGATAAGAAAGACCTAAATGAGTCCAAAAAAGTGAGAACTATAGACACTCTCTTAAAATGGACTTGAGTCATAACTTGACCCTTGAGATTCCAAATGAAAAGTTACAAGATAGATGAGAACTATGTTATTCCTATGGAGACTCAATTCTAGAGCAACTTGCTCATCAAACTTAGTTGGAGTGATCCCCAACCGCTAGGCTACTACCCTTAGATTAGTCTGATAGATGAGGCATTCTTATTGGACATGATGTTTGAATTTGAATCTCACTACTACACGATATAACTTCACCTTGCCTTATTTTCCTTCTATCAATTGTAAAAAAAATAAAAATAAAAATAAGCAAATAAATAAATTACGATGACAATATGTCTTCACTGTGCACTTGAACACAACTAAAGAAAATCTACAGCATAGAAGGTAAAAAATGGTAATATATAGTTGATTGGTCCATCCCAACTGTCTTCCAAACTCAAGCTATGGCATATGCATGGAACAAAACCATTTGGTATTAATAAGCATCTTCTCTATGGCACTAGGAGAGAGGATGAAAACAATATTTAATAATAAAGAAAAAACAAATAGGTAGAGAACAGCACCTGAGGAAGAGGCATCAACAGAGGATAGCACATATGTAAGTGGTGAGATTCTCAACTTTCGATTAAATTAAGAAAAATGATTTTTTTCGAAAAGAAAAAGAAAAAAAACTCCACTTAAGAGGAAGTTGCATGGAGTTCATTCCTCCAAATTTTCTTAGTCGCCAATCATGCTTTCCCATGCATCTGTTTGAACATGAAAGTAATAGTTGTTTTAACAAAAAGGACTTGTTAGTGGGCATTTTTCTTTTAGAGCCCATTTGAGGTTTCTTTTTCGAAGGACCATCCCTCTTCCTCTCAAAAAGACACCTTTAAATTAACCTCTCCTATTGTTTGAAAGTTGGAACCTCATTGAGCATTATTGGATTGAAAAGAATTTAACATATGCATAGAGAAAATAAAATAATAATTTTAGAAATGCATAATCAATTATCAATATCAGAAAATACATGTGGAGTAATTTGAATAAAATCTTCTTTTTAACAACACCACCACTTTGATGTGTATGACGAAAGCTTTGTTTGGCAATCTTTTAATAAAGCTACTTTTGACTATAAAAAAAAAAAAAAATGCTTGATTTTGCTCATGTAAGTACCTTTTGGAGAATCTTTACAAATTTGTGTTAAGACAATTTTACTCTCGTTACTTTAAGAAATTTCATCACGTTTCTTGGATTATGTTAATCGGGTTCCATAATATGATAAGGGTGATATGAAAAAATTTACAAAATTCCGCACAACAAAAAGGTAATTCTGTTTTGGCAATCACCAATCGCATCATCTTTTTTAAATTAAAAAAGTATAAGGATAAAAAGGCTATTAAAAAAACAATTATCAAACCTCACTTAAGCATTGTTGGATTGAAAAGATATAAGCCGTTCATTGGAAAACAAAATAATATATCCATGAATATGTAACCCAATTATCAATTACAAAAAAATATAGGTGGAGTAATTCAAATGAAACAAAAATTTTTTTTTTTAATAGTAGGCCTAAAATTTGATGTGTATGAGTTCGTTTGGGAAGTAGGTTGGCTTTTTGACTTTTTAGCTTTTTTAATCTGGGGTTAAAAAGTTTCGTTTGGGATAAATTTTTTAAATTTTTGTGAGAGAAAGAATGTAATAATTATGAGTTGAATGTGACATTTTATTAGATTAAAAAACCTATTTGTCTTTTTGTAGCTAAAATAGTCCCAAACCCAACTCAATCCAACCCAACCCAAGTTGCCAAACAAAGGCTATGACTGAAATTATTTTTTTGTAATTGAGTCTATAACTAATTATGAGACTTATTGAAAACAAAATATTACCACTCGATATTAATGGATTGCAAAACCATCCACTAATGAACCCTCAAAGTTGTGTATTTAGTGTGAAATCATGTCACTATGACCTACAATAGAGCTAGTGCAAAATGGATGAGGAAACTTGATCTCGCAAAACTTAAAAATGATTTTTAGTCCCAAAAATAAAAAATAAAAATTGGAGGAGAAAAATGAAATAAGATTAGACAACGTTGCTAGCTTAGGTGGACCAATATGAAGCAAAAATAGTGTTATCATGGTCTCATCCGATGAAAAAGATTAACTATCCTAAGATTATGCTTTTAATCGTCACACTACTATTATTATAATGCAAAGCACACTACTGTTATTATTATGCAAAGCACGTAGAGATTGATTATTATTTTTATTGCATATTAGTGTTAGGATTACTATTAAGATAAATATTTTAATCTAGTCATTCTCATACGTTTGAATTCTTATGTCATGACATGTTGATTGTTATCTTAGCGTTAAAAACATTTCACCATTGAAAGTTAATAATATTCTCTTGTGATTAAGAGAATGATTATAATATCATATGGTGTTTTTCCGATAGCATTGATTGAATGATAATTAAATTGTAGAAAATAAAATAAAATAAAATAATAAGTAAAGCTATATTGAGTGATAAATAAATTGAATGGTATATTATTAAGGCCTAAATTTTCTCCATTACCTCATCAAATGGCCACAGGATACTTGGGCATCTGCATTGAACACCATTTAGCTTGCTTATTTTTGGTTTTTCAAGAATATTTTTCAGAAAATTCTACTTTCTTGTTTTCTGTATTTTTTTTTTGCTTTTACTAAATTTTTTTAACATTTTAAGTAATTTTTTTTAATTTTTAGACACACCTAACATAAATACACATAAAAAGTATATTTTTTGTAAAAAAAAATCTTTTAAAAATTCACT